ACCAGGATGCATGACCGGCAGCATCATTCAACGTGCTTCCTCTGAGCTCGGGCTGCCATTGACAGATCCTCTGGACATCATCATGGCGTCTAAGCTCAGAACACTGAACAGTGCTCACACGTCATGACATGTGCACCGTTCAGTGCAGAAGCAAGTCATGTCCATCACCACAAGAAGATGAAGGACCCATTAGATAGAAGAAAGAAGACCCTTAGATGTTGGCTGTATCTGAATCATCAACGTACAAAAAAATACATAGATGCATTGCAATTTTATTTGTTGACAGTAGCTTCAATGTAGGCTGTGACAGAAGCATCTGAAACTTGAAGTAAAGGGAAATAAAAGCTTTAGCGCAGACTACAGTGATTATTATTATTACATAGTATTTATATAGCGCCAACAGTTTGGGCAGCGCTTTACAATATAAGGAAGACATTACAATCACAATACAATTCAAGACAAGATGGTAAGGAGGGATGGCAGTGATGTACAGTAACCAATAATCTGAGCAAGCATATTTTTGATGAGCACTGTTATTTAATAAATCCAGAAATGTAAGTAAACTGAACTCACGTTCACATTGAGGTATTCGCTTATCCCACTGCCCATCACTACGACACACTGCAGTGAATGAGAGTATATTTCTTCCATTCTACAAATACAAAGTTATAAGATAAGTCATTGTGAGATTCAGTGTGTTTAAAAAATGGCATTGTTAGGATCGTATTATGCGATTACCTGACAGAAGACCATAGAGTTCAAGAGAATATGCCTTCACAAGGAAATACCATATTTTTATCTTTTTTTCTATCCTCATTTCAGTTTTAGGTAAAGCAGGGTAGAATTCAATCCTACTTTATCAGTTCACAGATATAGGGGTAGCAACTTACCTGACTCCCATGGCACCAGGTAGGTTGTACATAAGGCTTGGCTTGATTGTGCCACCACTTCTTGTGCACTGGTGGCATAGAAGTTTTTGGTACTTGTTAGCATCAAGCATTGGTGATTTGATGGGGTAACCATTTTTTTGGATAATGGACATATGTGTATAGGATGCAAAAGAGTCCTACCACACTACTTAGTGGTATGTGCCTATGGTGGGTCCTATAGTGACTGTGGATGGCACGGCTTCAGATCCTCATAGTAAAGTATGTCACCAGCACCCCATGGTTCAATCTTCAAGCAGTGATCGTTTTATTGATGCACACACATCTTGTCACATTGCATGTCATGCCTGATGAAGGGACCCTGAGTGGCCCCGAAACGTTGCAACTATGGTGTGCTGGTGACATACTTTACTATTTATGTGTGTATAGGACTCACAGTCCTGTAGCCTTGAAGACACAAGCCCAATGGTTTGTTTTGGAAAGGACACTTTTATCTGTTTCAAAAGCAACCCTCCAGTAGCAGCCTGTAAAAATCTGGGTTCTAGGTTTGGTAGTAAATAACACATGATATACCAGTTCTAATATTGTAGAGACAATTGCCATTGTGTGTGCCTGTGATGCCCGCTATAACCCTTTTTGTGGCCAGAAGTCACTAAAGCCTAGATGCCCAGACCAATTTTAGTAGCGTCTGTATGCGTTTGTTAACTTGACAATACCTCTGTGTGTAATTTGTTTACCTACATTATTTTTACATTGTCTTTTTAAGGACATATAAAGCTGTTATTTTGGTTCACTTGTTTTAATAACACTTTATTAATTATAAAAATTGGACAAAATGTTTTTAAAAATGTGTTTTTGGTTATTTTACACCTAACAGTTTTGTATTCAGTTTTCCAAAAACGTTTTAAATGTTTCTATTTATTTATTTATAAACTGTAGGGCTTCGAAAAAAAACATGGCCTGCTGGGTTCAGCTGTCTATTTCCTCTCTGGAACTGGCAGGTTGGTTTATAAACAAACTTATGTCAACGCCATAACTGTCTTTCATGGTGATCACATCATCGAGCACCATGCGGATTGGTTACCCATTGTTATTGTAGACAAAACAGCAAGTAAGAGGTAACCTCTCAAAAATAAGTGGAATCCCTTTTAAACATTTGCAACCAAAATGTGTCCCTATTGAAGATTTCTCCTCTGTTTCTGTTCTAGTGACAACTTCATTTTTTGGATTTTCCCTCATGATCAGTCTCGGAAACAATGGTTACAAGGACAAATAGAGAGGGGGAATCTCCCCTGCAGGGACACAGACCGTTATAAAATCTAACCCTTCCATATTCTATCCAAAAGTATAAAGAAGGGTTTGGGCTTTAGATATATAGGGTTATTCATAAAAGGGTGAAGAGTTTGGAGAAGAGAACAATCTAGGACAACATCGCTGAACTGGAAAGTGAGCTGAATTGGAGAAGTCAGCTATTTCGGCCTAGATTGTTCTCTTCTTCTGCCTTCTCCAAACTCTTCACCCTTTTGTGAATAACCCTGATAAACTCGTGTACCTCTTGTAATTACCATTTAGTATGGTATGCAATTTTTAACGGATTATTTTTTAATTAAATTCACTAATTAGCACGCAATGTTGAACCATAATTTTGGTTAGAATGTTCCTTCGTTCACCAGACTTGCCCCAACTTCTTTATAAGTGACCTCTCAATGTACCCACCTCTATGAGCGCATAACCTTTTTCACAAGAAAGCGACAGGCGATCCTTTACAACGTATGTTTTCTGTACAGGCGTAAAATGTCCTCGAGGTGGCGGCACAGGATCAGGACAAGGAAGAGCTAATAATGGACAAGAGCGGAGGAAAAAAAAAAGTGATTTTCTACCCATGAGTTAACCAGCTGCATTGTGACAAGCAGATCTGACAATGAACCGATTGCTTTAAGAGTGAGTAGATAAGTAACAACCTCATTCAAAGAAACAATCTTAACACAAATGTAATTATTGGATTAGAACAAGCACCTCTGTCCGCTCCTGACCTTGGAGCATTTCGTACATAGAAAGGAGCCAGATACTTATCATTAATTACAGTCCAGTGGGCTGGAGAACTGCCAGGAAGCGTGGCCTGCCAGTTAAGTGAATTACACGGATTGTGCGGTTCCTGTGAAAATTCTTTATCCAACCCAACAAGAAAAATAGAAATAACCAGCGTGTTAACAGCAGCCAGCAACCCCCATAAATCATGGAATTTGGTGTCGTAGAGCGGAACTTCTGTTCTCACTTTTCTCTGCTTTGTAGTTGATTTCAATTTAATCTACACAGCTTCACCCCAAAGAATTACAAATGATGAAGCAGTTTTCCGTGTGCGCATACATTTGATTTAGATATACCTTATTTTAGCAGAACAGCCGGAGTTTATTATTTTTCCTTGCATGATTCTGTACTTACAATGTCTTCTAATTCTAGCATCATGTGGTCAGAACAAATACCCCAAAATGTATGGACTTCCCAGCATGCCCTAAAGGTTGAAGTTGTAATGAGCTGTACTGGGCACATTACTGGGCTATGTACACATGGCCGTGTAGGTGAGCGGAACTCAAAATAATGAATGAAGCCAAGGATATTTTTTATCAGTGTTTTCACCCAGGATTCACACATTTTTTTCATTTGAATACAACTTACAATGTACAATTCTTGGCAAGAGTTGTCTGAGTCTTGGGTCAAAACATTAATAAATAGACCCCCTAGTCTGTGAAGTGTGGAGATTGGTGGAGTAACTTCACAGCACTAGTCATGTTAAGTAAAAGCACATATAATATTGCACCACCTGTCCACATCACACTCCGCCCCACGTTAAGTGAATATTCTTTGGTGGAATTAGTTTTTTCTTTATGTCATCATCACTCCTACCTATTACTGTGTACTGGAGGTTCCAGCCTGTGTGATGTCCCGATCCATCAGTTGTGAATACAATGTCTACTTTATTACTCTTTGTGTTGATCTCTGGTGGTAGTTTTTCCCCGCACAGTACAGCAATGTCTTTTCCTTTGGCTTTAATCTGTGAGATGCAAAAAAACATAATTATTATTATTATTATACAGGATTTATATGGCGCCAACAGTTTGCGCAGCACTTTACAATATAAAGAAGACATTACAATCACAATACAATTCAAGACAAGATGGTAAGGAGGGCCCTGCCCCTGAGGGCTTACAATCTAAAAGGGAGGGGCAAGTGATACATGAGGAGGTAGCCGTGTGGGGATGAATTGTTTGAGAACGTGATGATTGAGTGTTTGGTTTGAGGTGGGATAGGCTTCCCTGAAGAGATGAGTCTTAAGGGATCGCCTAAAGGCAGTCAGAGTGGGAGATAGTCGGACAGGTTGGGGTAAAGAATTCATGGGGATACTTGCTTTTATTTTAAACTCTAGGTGGCACTTAAAATCAATTAATTAACATTTAATGCTGACCAGTAAACACTGCAGTCATGCTAACGTCCGTTCACTGGGCTTACCTTTAGGTCCGATTTACACTTATACATTTTATTGTGTTGCTTTACTGCACACAGGTAGTCATGCATTAACAAGCATTGTGTTTAGGCAGGCCATTAATTTAGGCTGCCAATGCAAGCTAAAGGAAGAAAACCGAGCCTGTAACTTATTTGTAATGCAGTCCGGCTTTGTTGGTATTTACTGTATTTGTGCATTTTTATGCAGTTGTTTAATAATATTGTATTGTGCTTTACTGTGTGTTGTGGTAACTCATGGAAAAACATGCATTAATGCTACACATACTGTAGGTGTGAAGACATCCTTAGGCTTTTATCATACCTTTGCAATTTGACATTCATTTTTAAAGTTTTGATGCAGATTTGCTGTGTTGTGCTATTTTTTCTGCCTTACATGTCTGCCCCGGGTTCACTTTAATATGAATTTTAGGCATTTGGGTCTGCTACCTCGTGTTCCCGTGGTGTAGGTTTAGTATGCGCATGCATAATTTCTTTCTATATAATTGCGTTGTCTACAATTGGGCAGACGTAGATTGACGGGTGAAGTTGGGAATACCTTGTGTGCAGACACACATTCAATATTATGGGGTGGGTATTTATAAAACACTCGCAGATCTGTTTGCTTTGTGAATGTCTGAGTTTTAATTTCTCAACACATTGTGATCACTAGATGGAGCTGAGTAGTATTGGCATTTTGTATGCTGTTCACTCTAAGAAAGTTATATAAATACATCCCAAAATAACAGTGGAAAAAATGTCATGGTGGCATGGTGCCCTCAACCAATACAGCATACCAAATGTCCATGGGGATACTGCCACACACCTTACTGGATACCCCTATTATGTAGATGGATGCTGTAGTGAATGCCAGTTGTGTCACAAGGGGGGTGAGGCCCGCACCCGGGAGACACCATTGCAGGGGTGACACCAAAATGACTGACAGTCATTTTGGTGTCACCCCCTCTAAAAAGTCGGGCACTCGGTCATGGACCAAGAGGCGGACAGTGTCAGGAGAGAGGAGGGGGCCTGGCGGCATACCTCATCCCGCCAGGTGAACGTCCCACCTCCTCTCTTTGTCGGCATCCATCACCAAGATGGCCGCCAACAGACGTCAATCAGATGGCCGCGCACGCGCAATGACGACACGGCGGGGTGTCACCCAGTCTAGAGACCTTGTACCACATTTTTGTAAGTGCCTCGGCCTCGGGACACCTCTGGTGAATGCAAAAATCTCTGCATGTATGTAAACAGTAGCAAAGAATCACCAGCACACCAATGGGTAGTGTGTGAACACTCTTGCTTCTTCTTTAATCATGCAAAATGTCGCATCTCTAAGCGCAATGTTTCGGGGCCACGTAGTGTCCAATAATCAGGCTTAACATGCTCAATCAATACAGAGAACCCTGACCAGGTATTTATTTTTGCACCACAAAAATTAAAGGAATTTTCTGGTTCATGTGGTTTATATAGTACATGTGGTTCACTGTGCTTGGGCATTTTGCACTATGGCTTCAGGTCACATTCCTTTTGGATGGGAGGAGTGGCACATTTCTTGGCCTTCGCTGGACAGCTTCTATCGAGTCGTAAATGAAGATTAAACAGTGCACAAACTGGAAAATTACACAAGTCCCCGGGGGAACGCCGTATCAGATAACTGAAGTGTCATAGTTATCAAACGGATTTTTGTGCGCTTATGAAAGTGAAACCTTATCATTGTCATCGGTATCCATAGATCTGCTTTCAGTGCTAAACGGCAAAAACATTTAAGCACATGATGGCCAAGATAAATCTTTAAGAGCTTCCTGGCATTTTCATTTCATTTTAGGTTGAACACAGGAGCTGCAAAAGCAATTTTTTTTCTGTCTCTGCTAGACATTTTATTTCTGGATAAATTCAAGAGGAACTCAAAACAGAAACATTCTGTAGTGGCTGATAAATTAGCTGTTGACATTGTAGAAGAAGTAGACCTTTGAAAATGTGGTACATTTTCTGCCAGAAACAAAGTTTGTGTTGAGATTGTAGAAATGGGCAAAGGACACAGATTGGGTAATAAACTAAAGCAGGATCCATAGGCAGCTATACACGCTTGTCACCTAGCCAGACTTGTGCAATGGAACTTGTAGATCAGCCTTTAAAAAATGTCCATACCACTTCTGAGGCCCCTTTGTGGGTCTCCCTTGAGGTGATAGATTGTAGCCCGGTCGCTATTGATAACCTTCTTTGGTTATTGCCAAAAGATAGACATCACTTATCTAACCCGATTACTCTCCGCTCTCTAAAGCTTTGGGATGCATGTAAATGTTCCAGCGGTTTGCTATCTCCTCACTGTCCACTTCTTTCCTTTCTTAACAAACCGTCCTTTCACCTGGCTTTGATACTCTGCACATCTTCTGACATTGGGTACAGGGTGAGGTGACACGTTTTCATAACTTTACATGACAGAGGGACCTAAATCATTTCAATGACTGCGGGAGGTTTACAAATGACCTACCCCTTGAAACTGTTTCGTTACCTCCAGGTTAAGCACTTTCTCTCCTCCCAAATGCCTGGATACCCCACGTCAGCTACATTTACTCCATTTGAATGTATATGTAAGGACGGACCTCATGCTTCAGGACTGGTCTCACTGTTATATTGAACCTTACTAGCGGGAACCTTCTCTACTCATAAAAAATGTCCATAACCTTGTATAAGCCAGTTTTACAGATTTGGAGTTTGGTACTTTCATATTTAGCAGAAATCGTTGGAATAGTTGCATGGTGACAAATAGAAGGCACTGCTTACACTTTCCTTGAAAGACCTTTTACCACATTTTGTGAGTGACTCTGAGTAATTTATTTATTACACATATTTATATAGTGCCGACAATTTACGCAGTGCACATTCACATCAGTCCCTATCTCACAAGCATACATGCAGGTGCCAATTTACACAGGAGCCAAATAACCTACAAGCATGTCTTTGCATTGTGAGAGGAAACCAGAGTACCTGGAGGAAACCCACACAAGCACAGGGAGAACATGCAAACTCCTTGCAGATAGCAACCTGGTCATGATTCTAACCGGTGCTGCAATACATAAGCGCTAACCACTACGCCACTGTGAAACTGTGCCTATTTGTAAGGTCAGGTGCAGATGTTGGACCAGAAGATCTGGCTCACAATTGGTTACCCAATTCTCATCATGAGTGTGTTCAGGTCAGGGCTCTTTGTAGGCCACATGAGTTCCTCCATACCAAACTGATCAAATCATGTCTTAATACAACTGGTTTAATGTACAGGGGCACAGCGATGCTGAAACAGAAGAGGTCCTTCCCCCAAAGGTTGGCACAGGGTCAGAAGTCCACAAGTGTTGAAAATGTCTTTGTGTGTGTTAGGAGCATTACCATTCCCTTTTCTTGGAAACACCTGAACCCAAAGGGTATTCGCATATGTTTGGCCGTATAGAGCTGATCTAATAACATTATTACAGTCTTTTTTAGACATTCACCATTAACAGCAAGTCCTCACCTGTAAATGGTCATAGGGACACAAGACATCCGGATGTGACTCAACGTCAAAGTGCACGAACCTCAGGAGAACGGAAAAACCCTCTTCTGCCTGGATGGTGTACTTGCAGTTGGTGAGTTTGGGGTAAACACCTGGAAAATCTGGGCTTGTGATGTCACCTGAATTTGTGGTGTACGTCTCATCCTTGCACTGAACTGTGGCAAAGAAATACATTTAAACTGAGATGGTCTTTGGGACCACTAGGACAAAGAACAGTTTATGAGCTCCCTGCTTTAGTCATATACATGTGGAAGAAACAAAAAACTTTGTGTGCCTGCTCCCCTCTTCATGACATAGATGACATAGATGTTAGTAAAGGGGTTGGGCACAGAAAAGCTCGGCTTCCACTGCCTACAATTAATGCAGGAGACAGAAAGAGACAACAAATTATTTATGGGTGTTAGTTTAAGCAGATTATCAAATTTGTTAATGGGTTATACTGATAGCCCTAAACGGCTATTGCTTAAAATATATATATAGTGAGAGATAACTTTATATTTACTTTGACCAGGATTGTTCTGTGCAGCAAAAATAAATAGTGCATGCTTGTTGCAGATCAGCCACTTAACATATTGAAGTCATACAATCAGCATATCCCCAGTGATGAATTAAGGCAAAAAGCCTTCCAGTGCTGTCATTGGCCAATAGTGCTGAGAATCTACTCAGATTTGAAGATGTTCTAATTTAAAAAGCCCAGTTAAATTTCAGTATAATTATTCAGGACAGCGTCCGTGCCAAATAATCCATTGGATAGAAGGGGAAATCCTCCGCACACCTTGCAGCAATCCAGGCCTATGTAGACAATGGTGCTTGTAGTGATGAACACGGATGGCACCGTGCAGACATAATGTAGGAAGAGGAATCACCAGCACTCAGTAGAATAATCCAACATGTCCATTCTTTATGCCCTGATGAAGAGACTCTGCGTGGTCTCGAAACGTTGGCTCTTGTGATTATGTGACGTATATGTCCAATAAATGGACATGTTGGATTATTCTACTGAGTGCTAGTGATTCCTCTTCCTACATCGTGCCCATTAATCCGACACAGGAAAGTAGTTTCACAAATTGTTCCCAAAACCCATCAAATAAACAAAGCTGCAATCTGGTGAAACCAGTATTATATTTTTATTGTACATGTAAAAAGAAAAAGTCGGAATCATTGTAAAATTGTGGGCCGTCGGAGGTGACATAGTTCTTGATGGCAGCCTATGAAGCTTCTGCACTGACTTCCTGCTTGAGGAGGTTTTACTCTTCTACAAAAAACAAAAATAATGTGACGTGTTTGAATTTTCCCACCAGGTAGAGTGATGTGTAACCAGGGCCGGATTTACTCTCTCTGCTGCCCCAAGGCCAGGTTCATCAATGCGCCCTCCTACCCACCGAGATCACTTGTACAAAACAAGCGGCTGCTTCCTCACTGTACATTTACCTCTGCTTGCCCAAAGCAGGGCTAAATGTAGAAAACAACTACCTGCCCGGGGCCGGACTTGCATGTCCCGGGGATCAGGGTATAGGAATTCCACATTCCTGCTGCCCCGAGGCCGGGCCTTGGTTGGCCTTGTGGGAAATCGGTCCCTGCGTGTAACAGTATTTAATTAGACTTATCCTTCCAGGGCAAAGCGAAGAGCAGTGTGCCAGTCACAGTAACAATTAACAGTCAGTCATATCCCTATCAGGACAGAGCCATTAAAAGAATGAAAGTAATTGGTTGGTTGCTGAGGGTTACTAAAATATACACCATTCCCTTTGTGTTATTACTTCTCATAGTGAAATATCAACACTGCCTCTGCTATGCTGATATTCCAAGCAGTGTTGTCAGCCCCGCCTTAGTTCTCCCCTGCTGGATTACAAAACACTCACCCTCTACTCATCTCCATAACATAATAAAGGTTCTGTAGTTCAACAGGGGAGGACTGGGCAGGGCTGACAGCACTGCTTTTTAATGAAAGTAAACTTAAATAATATTCCCTGAACACTTGCTTAATACATTATCAATATCTTCCCTGTTTAGGGCATGTTCTGCTGGTGAAGTTGAGAATTAGTTGATGTGAGAATGTTGGCAGGTATGGCACTGAAGATGAATCAGTCATTCCTTATAGGCCTGTAGACCTACCTATGCAGGTTTTCCTGTCTGTGTGTAGAATGAAGCCAGGTCGGCAGCTGCAATAATATCCACCAATGTGATTGTGACAGTAGTGGTCACACGTGTCCTCCTCGTCCTCGTTCTGCTTCACACACTCATTTATATCTGAATGGGAGGACACAGAGAGGTTAGACGTTAGAGCACAATATACCATGATTCCTGCCATATAATTATGTCAACCGTTGATGTGTTTCCAGCATTTCTGGAAATTCTGTAGAGAAAAAGTTATATTTGAAGATTTTTCTCCCCTATATTTATTACTTGCAATGTTCTTACTATGTGCTCAAGGGTCAGTCTGTCCAGGAGACATGTTTCAGGTGGAGTGTGGTGGTGTTCTGACTCTGGCCCCTTCCTCCTTAGAGCTTTTGTTGTGCCCATTAGTCCCTTTGCATTGTCTATAATATATCATTATTTAAACTGTATGCGAAGCCACATATTTTTTCTGCTTTGGATAGAGCAGAGAAGTGTTAAAACTCCTAACAGGCTATATTTGATGTCTATCTCCCTTTGGAGAGATTTCTCTTTACTTCCTTTAGTGGCGACACAGCCAAAAAATGAGAGGAAATCTCTTCCTATCGTTTTCTCTCTCAGTGATAATGGTCGCCAGGACAAATAGAGAAGGTACATTTCTCCAACGGGGGCACACAGCAATAAAAGCTTGACAAGGGGTTCTAATTCCTTCACTTCATGCCCCATGAGATAAGAAATCTGCACCTGAATTATGGATACCGCCGGAACTTGTTAATAAAGCATTCCTATAGCTGCTCTACTTCCCGCACTACGGGACACATCAAGGTTGATGAAGATGATGGCTCTTCTATATCTTCAGAAGTTTTCACCTTTTCTTCCACACCCTGGTGAGCCTGTATTGCCTTTCACTGTTTTGATCTATGTTAGTATATTTGAGAATTACATAGTTGCTGCTACTTAGGTGGACTTACCTACTGCTACCTACTACTACAAAGCGTAGTTTCTATATCTTCCCAACAGCAGATCACACTTATGCTACAGCTCTCACTGCATTAACCCCTTAAGGACCAATGATGGAGTTATTCCATCATGGTTGTCCGTGCCATAAGGACCCATGACGGAATAATTCCATCATGGGTCCTTAAAGGAGAAACTATGGGGTTAGGGCTTTTCCCCATAGTTCTCTGAAGGGTAACGGGTGGACACAAACTAGCGTCCTCCCGTCACCCAAAGCTCAGTATACCGCGAACTGCAGCTTGCGGTATACTGAGACGCCGCAGCTGAAACGGATCCCGACAATTATGTCTGGATCCGCCCAGCTGCATTAAAGACAGCTGGCTCTGCCTATCTAGAGGCAGAGCCAGCTGTACCCGCCCCTCCCCCATCCGTTCCGCCAGTCAGCGCTGGAGGATCGGACATGGGGGGGGAGAATCCAGTAAAAAGCACTCACCTCATAATTCTCCTTTAAGGGGTTTAAGCTTCGGTCATGACCTAAAATTAGCCCCAGATCGCTTATAGCAAATTAAAGCCCTTTTTGTCCTTTAAAAAACAGTATATAATATGTATTGTTGCAATAAATGAGAAAGACGGTTGAACAGAAACATAGCAAAAATTGCTTTGGTCCTTAACTGAAAGACGAGCATCTGAAGCTTGGTCCTTAAAGGAGAACTATGAGGTGAGTGATTTTCACTCCTCCTCATAGTTCGAGCCGACATGTGACAATGAGACTGTCACACGTCGGTTCAAAAGATCGGGAAGTGAACACATACCATCGCTCGCCCACTTTTCGATCCTGTCCATGCAGAGAGCAGTGACTGTCACTCACGGCTCCCTGCAGGGATTCCTCCCTCCCTGCTCTGATCCTCCAGCGCTGACTGGCGGAATGGACTGGGGGAGGGGGCGGGTACAGCTGGCTCTGCCTCTAGATAGGCAGAGCCAGCTGTCAATCACGCAGCTGGGTGGATCCAGACAGTAATGTCAAGGTCCATTCCGGCTGCGGCGGTCTCAGTATACCGCGAGCTGTAGCTCGCTATATACTGAGCTTTGGGTGACGGGAGGATGCTAGTTTATGCCCTCCCGTGACCCTGAGGAGAACTATGGGGGAAAACACTGACCCCATAGTTCTCCTTTAAGGGGTTAAAGAACTTCTTTATGCCTAAAGTAAACTTGTTTGCAAATTTTATAAATTCTAGCATTGGGGACAGCACAATGGCGAATCCACAGTACAATTTATAGTAGAGCAGCTTGACTGACTTGGTTGTTAACTGTGGGCTTCTTGCTCTAATACAGTGGTTCTCAACCTGTGGGTCGCGACCAAAAAGTGGGTAGCAACCCACAGTTGAGGGGGTCCCCACGTGCCTTGTGCTGCTCTAGGTAAGAGGCTCCTCAGCCTCCTCCTAGCGTGGCAGTGTCAGTTCTACTAGATGGTGCTGCAGCATCAGCGACCGGAGAGGATCAGAGAGAGGGCAGCAGGCAGGAGTGAGGGGAGGTGAGTGCTTGGGCACCATAGAGCCCGCACTGGGCACCACAGAGCCTGCACTGGGCACCACAGAGAGTCCCACTAGCCACCTGAGAGCCCGCATAGCCTCCCGAGAGCCCACATAGATACTAGTATTGGTGCATCCCTAAATTTTACGGTTGGGGGTCACCACAACTTGGAAAATGTTACCAAGGGGTGCCCGGCCCTAGAAAGGTTGAGAACCACTGCTCTAATAGATGAAGTGATTAGAGACCAACTAGAAGAAGAAAAAAAAACCTGTACAGAATATAGAAAGTATTGTAGATGTATCAACTGTAAATAGTGACATCTACAGGCTAGAAGTATGAACACACCACACCTCCTGGACAGTTGGCACCAGACAAGTGTCACCCCTGGAAGATTTACCCTCACCCCTTGTTTTGCTGTCAACTGTAACATTTTAGATTTCCTATCACTTTCTGCTTTGGTGACAATGGTCACCAGGACCAGTAGCGAGGATCCATCTAGTGGGGACACAGACAACAAATAAAGCTTTACAGAGGGTCTAACCCTTCCACACACCAACTAAAAATAAAAACGTTTTGGCTATATACTTTGGTATGAATCACATCGAGGTCTTTGTCATTGCAGAGGCTTTCTTATTTTATAAGGTGGAGAGTTCCTTTGAATATAAAATAAAAGATATGCCTTGGCCCGAACTAACATGACATGTTTCCGAACCAGTTGGGGTACTTCGGTGTTACCTTACCTTCAGCCATATAGAAAGCCTCGAAGCCGGCTAATTCCTTCTCATTGGAGTAGTCGCTTCGAAATGTTACCGTCATCTTATTGTCCAGGGAGTAGAAGGCCGTGTCTCCGGGGGCTTTCTCTGTGTCAGTAGACTCCGTACCGCAGAAATGAGCCACCTCCTTCCCCTGGGAAGTGAGCTGTGAATACGTATGGTAGTGACAGTTGGTTATGTGTGACATGAAAATATTCATGTCTATTTATAAAAATAAAAACATTTCTATTTTTTGTAAGACAGCCCCAAATTATCAATTTAGCAACTTATTGGACCAATAAACAACAACACAAATGCCTCCGCATTGCAGACTTCTCATAGTACTCTTTAGGCCCAGATGGGTAACTGTCTTCAAGATCCCTTTGAGAACATATGTGACTTACCATTGTTGACTCTGTCACAATATGCTGCACGCATATTAAAAGTGATCTCGGTAACATCGCGGGGATCACTTGTATTAAAATAAAACACCAGCTTCCCAGCTGTACATTTAGCCCTGCTTGCCTGAAGCAGGGCTAAATGTAAAAACATAAATACCTACCCGGTGGCTGTGCCGCCCCTCTATTCCCTGCTGCCCCAAGGCCCGGCTTTGGTGGCCTTGTGGGAAATCCAACCCTGCATACACTGATACATTAGTATGTCCCTTTGATAAGATCAGTTCCTTGGGAATGTACCTTGACATAGTCGTATTCACACATGTAAGACAGCTCCAGGTTGAAGTGGGTAAAGTAGATTTTGATGCGATGTCCCTCGGGGACTTGGATGTCCCAGTTCAGATTCTGTTCATTAGGGTACGGCTTTGGAAACCGAGGAGAAGCAATCCTTCCATGCAGTCCGGTCAGTTGTATGCAATATGCATGTTGGAGGATTACGATACCGATGATTAGAAGATGCCAGAGTCTGCAGGACAAAGAAATTCGGTAATAGTTTATTCTACTTATGAGGGATGAAAAATAGTGATAAAAATATGGACGTGGTACCAGACAAATTCCAGACTGTTCATAAACATTTACAGCTGATGTACACTGAGTGGCCAGATTATTATGACCACCCCATCAGTACTTCGTTGGGCCGAGATGGTGAAAGGTAATGCGAGGAATCTGACACGGCACTGTTGTCCTTCTGTTGTCTTGTACCAGTCTTGCCCCTCCCCCGTTCTGCCCTAACATTGACTAGTCGCTGACGGCCACAATTCGCACGTTCAGACCCAGATTTTCGGCTGACAGTCCGGTCTTTAAACACTTTAACAACAGCTGCTCTTGAACATTTAACGAATTCTGCTGTTTTGCTGATACTCGCTCCATGGCTCCGAGCGCCAACAATCATCCCACATTCAAAGGCTGTTAAATCGCGTTGTTTCCCCGTATCTTCAGAAACAAATCAGTTCTACTGTCGTGGTAAACAACCTGCTTCCCTATGTATAATGGTCTGGCCCTCTAGCAACTTCAGCGCCAAATTATAGCTAATTTGCCTACAAACGTCAGGTGGTCATAATAATCTGGCCACTCAGTGTAAATGCATCTTTAGACATTGGGGTGAATTACTTGGGGAGCTATAACATGTGCAGCCTCTGAGGCTGAGGGTGACGAATCTGGTTTATTTTAGACTAATATGAACACTCACTACAACTGAGGTGAGTGATAGAAGACTTGGGAGCCAGAGTGACTGCAAATGTAGGTAATTGTTTTAGGAATTAACCACTGCTAGAGATGCCACAGCCCTAAGTAACTTCCGGCAAATGCAAGAGGTGAGCAAAGAGTCCCAACAAGTCTAAACCTTTCTATGCACCCCAGGAGATGAGAGGTAACTAGCTGCCTGTGATCTGCAAACACAGTTTGGAGTAGGTGGATATTTAAAGCTTTAAAGTGTATACTGGTCACCAAGCCAATTAGACGCCAAGCGTCTAATTGCGTGTTAGAGTTGGCAGTAGAACCTTGGTCAGTTGCTTTTTTATAATAAAGGAAACTTCTAGAGAGAAAAATATGAAGACTCCCATCGCTGACCTCTCTTTCTGCTAGTTGCCTGACTGACATACTGATCTGATGGCTCCAGTCCTCCAACCACTGGTCTAGAGCAATTATAAATGTGGTCAGATATCACAGCCTGCAGTGCGGGTTTCTTATAAGGTTTTGGGAACCCACGTACCTCATGTTGTCTGTCCTCTGTTTTTCTTCCTCTGTTTTCTGCTACCACCGGCTGTTTGCTGTCACTCTACCTTTGGTCAGTGTCACAATCTCAGGAGGCCAGTGACCTGCATAGGTTGTCATTTGTTTGGAATAGGGCTTACTGTGTTTACATGTGTGCCTGTGATGTCAAATCCAAAAAGTGTGTTCACTTTCAGGAAATCCAGTTTTTAAATAGTCAGGCTAAAAAAAAAAAGACATGAGTCCATCGACTTCAACCTATAGGGAAAAAAACACAGAAACCTCCATAAAAAGAACCCTATGCCCACAGTCATCCATAGTTGACCCAGAGGATAAAGATAAACCTCAGTCAAAAGTCACTCTTTTTTTTAAGTTATGAAAGGCTGCCAAAGCTGTTTAAAGGAGAACTATGAGGTGAGTGCTTTTCACTCAGCCTCATAGTTCTAGCCGACCTGTGACAATGAGACTGCCACAGGTCGGCTCAGTAGATCGGGAGGTGAGCGAATACATACCGGCGTTCGCTCACCTGCCGATCCTGTCACGGCTCTAAGGACGGTAGTTTGTGTCCTCCCGTTACCCTAAGGTTAACTATGGGGAAAAGACTTAAAGTGACATTAAACCCTCAGATTTTTTAACATAAACCAATACTGTAATGTGTACCTTACTGTAATCCATGGTAGTTTCCCTTCTCTTTGCTGCTCTTCCTTTTAAATCCTCATGTCTTCTTATGCTTGGGGAGAACTTCCCTTTGCAGCTCAGTGCCTCTTCCTGTAGTGCTGGCTCAGGTTGTGAACCTATACGCAGACACCATGTATCCATTCCAGTCACAAGGCAGTCTGCTGAAAAATAGAAGTTCTGCCCAGCATGAGAACAGATACAGATTTAAAAGGAAGAGCAGCAAAGAGAAGGGAAACAACCATGGATTACAGTAAGGCGCACATTACAGTATTGTTTTATGTTAAAAAATCTGAGGGTTTAATGTCACTTTAACCCCATAGTTCTCCTTTAAAGCAGAACCAGCCACTTTTTCCAGAAAGTATCCTTTATATAACTAAAGGCGATCTGGACTGAACCTTATGAAAAAAGGGAAGTATATGAAAATATAATCAGTACTGAAAACAGAGAATGTTCTTCAGGTTCTCCAAATATCTTTGAGTATGCACGAATGTCAGGAGATTTAATTCATCAATCAAATGTTTCTTTGTAAAGAAGGAACATCACAATGTTTCCGCATAAGAATCTCCTTTGTAGTTCACATAAGTCAGTGAGTGTGTTTTGTTGGTTTATGCCTTGAAGGAAGCAACACGTTTCTTTGATTTTATCAGTATAGACTTGGAAAGGGCGAGCCACAGGTTTTCAAAGAGTCCCAGCCTGCTAGCGGAGGGTTCCAGTATGGACACAGGTGCCCCAGCAGTGTCTTAGTATTCCAACGCTTGATAAACACAAACACACACACAGCCATGTGTCCTGAGCCAAACACTCCTCACAGACACAGACTGACTGGCATCCTGTTCCTTTTTAGCACACCCTCTGGCTGGTGGGTTAACCCTTTCATTAGCAGAACTGGCTGTAGTCAGGGATGGAGGCTCTGTCCCACCCAAAAATCTCTCTGACCCTCCGGAGTCCAGGACCCCATGTATAAATAACAACTCTGGGAAGACTGCCTAGCAGTTTCCCTTACAAGTCCGACCCGGAAACCCCTCCCCCTGCTTGGCGAGATCCCTGAATACAAGGTGACCTTAAAGGGACCACCACCTAAACAAGGGAGGGATGTACTGCCCTTCCAGGACCCATTACTTTTACACCACCTTAAAAAAAAGTCCAGCACAATACCCCGGAATAATATGTACAATCACATTTGTGTGATTTCCTTGGAAGAAAATATGCTACAATAATTCTCAAAACCATCATATTCAGATTCATTGTAATGCAGCTTTGGTAAGATTCCAAGAGTAAAATCTCTGCAATAGAATACAATACTTTAGCATAATAAATCACCTTCTCTTCTGGAAGGGCACGAAGCATATAGATATATATCTTGGGTAAAGCTCTTTATATTATGTATTACAGTAAAGCAATTGTATCCCAAGATACATACCAGATGCGAACTTGAAACATACAGTGTGAATGTTCAAGAGGAGAAGATATTTGATGTTGCAGGGTATTGCTGAGAAATAATCAGCAAAACATGATGTCTATCCTGAAAAAGTAATATAGCCATTTATAGTGCCAGATAGGGATGCAGCGATACCAAGTACCGTACTCGGTACAAGTACAGATACTTTTCCAGCTCCAAGACTAGAATTTGTAAGGAGAACACGGAGCTCCTGAGATTTGTACATCTCTGTTTTATTGTATGATTTGTTTTTTATAAACATATATATTCGGGATGCACTGATACCTGTTTTGCAAGTACAGGTACTGATTAGGGATGCACAGATACTTTTCGAGTACCAGTGCAGACACTTGGCATTTTCAGGAGAACTCCCAGGGTAGCAGCGGTTGCAGCTGGGACCGGGCTCTGGCGCTCCACCACTGTCCTGAAATCATTAGTCTGTATTGTTTTAGAAAAACTGTCACATGACAATAAACAAAAATGTATCAGTACTCGTACTTGTAAGTACTCGGCAAGTACCAGTACTCGTACTCGCAAAACTGGTATCTGTGCATCCCTTTATTTATATTTATAAAAACAAAATCGTACATTAAAACCGAGATGTACAAATCCCAGGAGCTCCGTGTGCTCCTTACAAATGACAGCGGCCTCCTAATTTTTTAATTTTTCTCTAGTGTAGTCTTGGAGCTCAAAAGTATCTGTACTTGTACTCGTACTTGTACCGAGTACTGTACTTGGTATCTGTGCAACCCTAGCTGATACATGTCCAAGACCTCACAGATACAAGTACTGATACATTTTTGTTTATTGTCATGTGACAGTTTTTCTAAAACAATACAGACAAATGATTTCAGGACAGTGGTGGAGCGCCAGAGCCAGGTCCCAGATGCAACCTCTGCAACCCTGGTAGTTCTCATGAAAATGCCAAGTATCGGCACTGGTACCTGAACTGGTATCGGTGCATCCCTAGTGCCAGAGGTACATCACCCAGATGAACAGTAGAAGTATCCATGAAATATGAACATCACCAGTCCAGTTGTCAAATGGGTTTGATAATATCACTTTTATATATTTGCTCATAGTGAACAAACCTCACCTGAAGGTGATTTTTTTTTTTTGCAAGCATCTAGAAGGAGGTTTTTGAAAATGACCATTGGCTAAAAAGTCTCACATTGATAGAAGTAATAGAAGAGCAGGGTGTTATAGATTTTGAAATCACTGGGTCCTCCAAAACCAATGCAATAAAATCCATTTAATGTACTTTTTTCTAAATATATTAATTTGATAAACATTGGAGCAAATATGCAACAAAAAAAAAACTATACATTTTGCATCTACAGGGGCTCTGCTTTTAGAAAATAGAATATTGTTTGGGGGTTTTAAGTCATTTTCTAGACAAAAAGTTAGATTTTAACAAATGAAACAAATTACAAATTACATTTAGATTTGAAACAAATGGGAAAAATTAAAAAAAATTGCTCTGGTCCTGAAGTGGTTAAACCCAGGCGGATGGAAACTTCCTGTATGTAGAAATGTATTGCGTAAATTATGGTACAATGAAGTAGAAATGGAACCATCCAGGTCTTCCTCAATAATGAAACTTCTCAGATCATATTTGTGAACGGGTAAACAACGCGATGTAACAGCCTTTGAACGTGGGATGATTGTTGGCGCTCGGAGCCATGGAGCGAGTATCAGCAAAACAGCAGAATTTGTTAAATGTTCAAGAGCAGCTCATTGTTAAAGTGTTTAAAGGCCGGACTGTCAGCCGAAAATCTGGGTCTGAGCGTGCGAATTGTGGCCGTCAGCGACTAGTTAATGTTAGGGCAGAACGGAGAGTGGCAAGACTGGTACAAGACAACAGAAGGGCAACAGTGCCGTGTCAGATTCCTCGAGTCACCTTTCAACATCTCGTGGAGTCACGAGGCGGCCCAACAAAGTACTGATGATGTGGTCATAATAATCTGGCCACTCAGTGTATATAACCAAGCCAAAGTGAAGGGAGCTGAACGCCGTTCGGCTATTCACTTCAGCCGTGTACGGCTGATTTCAGCCATACATCGGCTGGCGTTGGCTTCCTTCGGTTCAGGCGAACATGCTCAGCATGTTCGGCCGAGCCGAAGTAAAGAACATGTTCGACTCGGCCGATCTAACGTCTGGATGGGCTGAGCCGCATGCACGGCAGTTCACTCGAGTGAATAGCCGCATTTGGCTATTGGAGGTAGCGAGCAAAATAAAACATCTTTTACAAAATGGCACGGGGTCCCCCTCTCAAACCATACCAGGTGCTTTAGGTCTGGTAGAAATGTTAGCTGGGACCCCAAGTTAAAAAGTAAAAAAAAAGTGCGTGGGGTTGCCCCAAAAGTCATACCAGGATCTTTAGGTCTGGTAGGAATTTTAAGGGGCAACTCCACCACCCAAAAATGGGGGTGGGGGAAACGTGGGGTCCCCCCTAACATTCCCAACCAGATATATGTTTCTAGGTGCATCTTTGCAGTGGTTATATGTTGGACACGTGTCATGTATGCCTGATCCTCAATGTCCAGGGATACAAGACATACTATATGATAGGCAGCTTCTTTTTTTTTCCCGTGACACTACATTACGTGGATTGAAATGTTACTGTTTAGATCAATAAAGGAATACTGTCATCTATCTGTTGGTTTCCTTGACAACTGGTGGAATGCTCTCAAAGCATATGTTTTAGATCTCAGTAATACTGTTTACTGTTTGTTTTCAACAAATATACTAACAATCAAGGGCTTTGACAACAGTGGGTCGCCTTTCCAAGTATATACTGATAAAATCAATGACATCATTTTGCTTCCTTTAGGCATTTAGCGTCAAAATCCGCTCACGTACTTATGTAAACTACAACAGAGATTCTTCTGTGAAAGTGTTGTGATGTTTCCCTCTTTACAAAGAGACATTTGATTTCTGAATTGAATTGCCTGACGTTCCTTTGGGTGTCTACTCAGAGATATTTGGAGAACTTGTTTATTTCTACTGCATGGAAGATGTGGAAACTTGAAGAACATCCTCTGTTATGAGTACTGGTCATAATTTCAGGTACTTCCCCTTTTTCACGAGGTTCCATCACGGTTGCCTTTAGTTATAAAAGAGGTTCTGTCTGGAAAACGTGGCTTATTGTTTTTAACAATGTTGCCTTGAACTATTGGTTCTTTCCAGTACTTTCCAGTTACAATACAATTGTCTCTAGAAATCTGGAGTTACTTAGCTGAGTTTTATTTGTTTTAAAATTAAATTTTTGTTATTTTATACTTTTGATCCAGAACAACAACAGCAAACCCATCATGTCCCTGTTTAGATTTGTAGACTTATCTGCACCGAAGGGCACTGACTTTTCTTTAAAATCTTGTCCTAAAAACATCTTGGACCACACCATTTATTGACCAAGGAATACTGTATGTTCACCATGTTATATTATGCAGCAGGTGGGGCGGGGGGGGGGGGGGGGTTGGGATGGGCCCACAACTTTCAAAGGAGAACTCAGGGAAGAATAATTCTTAACCCCTTTGCAGTGGGGCTACCCTCCGCACTGCAAGGGTTAAGTATATTTTTGTGTTGTTATATTTTATTTAGGGGTGGGGGGGGGGGGGGGGGGGGGGGGGGCTTTGGTAAATCAATGTATCATGTACTTGGCCATTGCATATACCCAGTTCGTTCCCTATTAGTTCATTCCTCCCAGCAGTAGGTGGTGTTCTCAATTGCCACCAACAGCCTGGCAATGCTACCTATCTTTAACAAAAGTCAGCTTCTGCAGCAAACACATGGTGGTCGGGGCACTGCTCCTACGGCCACCTCTCACACTGCAGATATCCAGCTGAGACTCAAGTGCCTAGGCGCAATCACACATCAAGAAGTACACCGCTAGTTGTTTCCTTTTCAAAGATTTGTATTTAGTTTGAAATAAAGCACAAGAGGTATGCAATATACGCAAGAAGTATACAATATTTGATAGGAAACAAGTGTGTTTTCATTTGGTGGTTGGGATACAATGTCAGCAATACTGTTAGGGAAGGAGCGAAGTCTCCCTGTTTGCTGGATTGGACCCCAATAGCAGGTAACAAAGCCAGAAGAAGAGCCCAGGCTGAGGTACAAGATAGGGTGATCCAAAATGCGTTGTCAGAATACAGTCCGGGTCGAAGCAGGCAGCGAGTATCATAAACGGTGAGCATGCCAAGAGTCGATAACCAGGAGATCCAAATAGCAGGGAAGGGAGGCAGGAGACAGGAAACAGTAAATGAGGCATCGTAGCTGCTTTGGGAATGGCAGAATAACTCAACAACAAGTCTTGGCTCTAGCTGGGATTTAAACCCAGTAGGGGCCAGCGACGCCCCCGTTGTCTGGGCAACCAGGAAGCCACAGGTCCCCGCGAACCAATGGGACTGCTGGGAGAGAAGGAGTGCTCGCAAGGCCCTCACCGGCAATGACCAGCACCCACAGCGACTAAGAAGCCACGGCAGTGCCACATGTGCACGTCACGCACGCATGTCATGCATGAGCTCATGTGCACACCTGCAGCCTGCCGCCGGGCACCAATTCACCCTAGGAAGGAACCTACGATCTCCGTCGCACCCGCCGGACCCCAGGTAAGAGGGCACCCCCTGGTCCAATGACAAATACATGGTGATAGTGTTATTTATGATATAATTTTTATTCATCTTCCTTTAGTACGGAAAAGAGGTTTAAAATATGATCCAGGACCGGTTTTGAAGTTTAAATATACCTTATGCTGTTTTATGTCACATTGGCTATATAAAGGTAATCTGAGACCTGTCCAGTCATACCCCAGATTTATCTGTGATTTGCTATTTTAATTCCAAGATGGTTACTGCTCTGTATTGGACCTTGCTGTTGCGATTTAATTATATTAAAGGGTAAGACGGTTGCGTTTACTGTCAAGGTGAATACAGGTCAGTTTATATCTTCCCTCTTATCCCCTTATATTTTATGGGGTTTAAAATTCATGTTACATGTGGTAGACTTCAACTAAGTGTTCCCTTCTGTGATATATTTGTAGGAGCCTGGCACATTTTGGGTGCTGCATTTTGGTGGTGGACCCTGCTTCCTCCATGACTCCCTATAGCCATTGCATTAGGGTCCGTTGGGACATAATGGGCTCTTGAGAAACTATATGAGAAACTATATGATGGTAGATTCGGGGGGGGGGGGGGGGGGGG